ACCTTTGAAGTGCCCCTTTCTAGTGTCCTGATACTTTTTAGCTATTGTAAACCTCAAGGAATAGTGTTCTTACCACTGCCACCCCTTCCTCCACTATCTTCTCAAATCTCTACTCCACATACCTGCAACACTGCTGCTCCCTTCTTCATAATGTCCCTACCCTTTTCCCCTGACCACCTGTCACATTTGTGGGTGGATGGCTGGCAGATGCTGACAATGTTGGCAAATGGCCATTGATTCACTTATCTGTACCTATAGATCAGCAGGACTAGGCTAAAAGCAGCTTCAGTATGGGGCCACTTCCCTCTGCTCCCCAGTGCTTTCATCCTCATTGCAGAAGACATGGTAAACACCACCCTTCCAGATCCTCTGCTATGCCTACTGCTTTTACTCATTCCCTCATCTTAAATATAGCCTTAACTTTGAATATACTGGCTCTTAAATGTTTACAAATACACACATTCTGTTCAGGATTCTTCCTTCAACAGCTAGAACCACCACTTTGCACTTTTTATAGCACCTTTTCAACCAGTGTTCCCAAAATGCACCCTACCATCTGTTACACCACTGAACACGTTGTAGGCCTTGTAGAAAAGCAACTAGTCCAGGCTTACACAGGACATGCTTCAGGCTCAATTACAACTTCTAAATGTTAGCCAGTTGTTTAGCTCCATGCCTTAGTTCATTTTCTAATGAGAACATTTCAAAGTTCATATAGGAAATCTCAAGGAAGTTTTACCCATAATATCTCAGTAGGGTTGCCCAGAAATGAGTTTCAAATAAATTACTGACTTTTCAAAACTTAATCTATATTTGGTCCAAGATAAATTTACTTTGAAATCCCTGGGAGAAGAGATTTTTGGAACAGAACTTCAAAAAGGACCTGAAGAAACTATTAAAGAGAAAAACATTCTGAATGTAAACAGTCGTGAGTATCCATGGAGGATGAATTACCTGCTTAGCATCAAGCTTCCTGAAAAAGTTTTCTGCTGACTAAAACTTCGTATCATTTTGGAAGCCTGGACCATTTCTAAGTTGAAGGGAGTGTTTAGGAATACACAAACAAAGGGAATTTATAACAAAAAGCTAGTTAAAAGTTAATTACAAAAATACCACTACCTCACCAACATGGCAAGCAAATGTTAAACAAAAAATAATAGAATATCAAGTGAAAGAGAAGACTATGTTTTGAACTTATGATTGATTCTGGACAATGAGGACTCTTACTTTCATAAATATGTAAACACAGTTGTGACGTATCAATTTAGTCAGGATCTAAAGTTTCTTATTTATACTCGTTACTGGACAGAATTTAAAACCATTCTCACCTTACTCATACCTAGGTCCTTAGCTAAAAAGGACAACAGTGGATGGATGCACATCATCTTTCCTCCTACTGAAAGTAAACAAACCAGTAATAAATCCTTTTTTTAAATGTATACCCCAACTTGTTTTTCCCCCTCTATCTGCTAGCCATGAAGTCAAGTGAATTTTATAGTTTTTGTTTAGAAGACCAACATTTTAGGCAAGCTGAAGATTAGGATCCAGAAAACCTTTCAATTCATTGCCATTTTACAGCCAGTTTCTTTTCCCTCATTACCCAACACAGTAGATAGATAGATTTAAGTCAAATTACAGTAAATCAAATCAGCAACTATATTGTTTATTTTATTTTTTAAATTCCTGTTGACCTCTCACTGGTAGTCTTGATTATATTGCGTTAATAAGGTCTAGCATTTTAAATGAAGGGTATGTGATTCTGTCTTTCAATCCATTTTTTTCTTTTGCATTCATGTATGCCAAGACATTTAATAATTAATAGAGGAGAATTAAAGGCAACAGAAGTAACTTTCTATATGACTTGTAAGATTTCCATCTCAACTAACCTCAGTGCCTCCAGAGAAAGAAAGGTCTAACAATAGATGAGACAGGATACAATACCTGCAGGACAAATATCCTCACTTAATTGGTAGATCTAATCAATATGAAAGGAAAAGCTAAAGAGAAGTAGAAAAGAACGTGCAGCTCTATTAGTTCTTAAGCAAGAGAAAAGTGACTTAATCTTAGCTGTTTCCACACTAGAAACTTTTACATAAAATTTTTGCCAGTTCCAGGCCTAGTGCACATGAACTATCCAGCAGTCCAGCTTGACCTACTGGCTTCCAGCATTCCTACCATCATGCTAGGGAAACCTAAGACCCTGGGATAGAGAAAAATCCTTGCACACTTTGGAGAAAGCTATTTTCATTAAAAAGTACAAATATACATGGAATTAATTCAGACATCTAGAACAGAGGTGTTAAATATACAGCACCCCGCTCCACCACCTGCTCCGTAACAGCCCGGAGCCCACAAGTTATGTGGCTCCTCACCACCACCAGTGCCTAACAGCAGCTGAGTGCACAGCCCCAGCCCTGACCTGCCCTACAAGGTGGGTCCACAGCAGGCATGGGCCAGGGCCAAGGCTGGGGCTGTGCACGCAAGTCCTGCCAGTCCCCATGGGGACAAGGCTGGAGTCCAGCCACAGAGCCACCCCAGCCCCACTGTGTGCCTAGAGGTAGTAGGACACACCACAGAGGCCAGATGATGCTCGGGCCAGGTGGGACTTTCTGCAGGCCAGAAAGTCCCTCCATGACCTGGATCCAGCCCGCAGGCTGTATTTTGCCCGCCCCTGTTCTGAAGTGTCACTGGCAGCCACTCACCTCTTCTTTATACTTCCCCATTAAGCTAAGTAATATTGTTTTACCTTTTGAGTTAGGCCCAGTATACCTGCTGTTGTGGTTCAGTGTCAAAATCCTTTTCTGCCATGCTGGAGACAGGTTTGATTCCTGGACATATAATTAAAGCCACTGAAGCACCAGATGTCTAGTTTGGCCTTTGGATTCTGTCTCAGTGGTCTAACAGGGGGATGGAAGGTCTAGGTAGCCTCCACTCCCCCATACTCCTGTTTAGGCATAAATGTCAAAGGCCCTGGGGACCTCTCATGTATACACCATGATCCAGAAGGACAGTTGCCTCCTAGGCCCAATATATGTAAAGTACCATTCAGAAATTCTTTGCATGTCAGTGAAGGTTTAGGAAGATCAGAGATTTATGTAAGTATGAATCTAGTAGTAGCTTAACAAACAGTCTAGCTTCTTTTCCGCTATGGAAGGCTGGTTGCCATAACTTCTCATCCGTTTAAGACCTTGCAGTTCAGGAACTAACAGCTAGCAAGACTTTGATCAATAATAACAACAACAACAACCACCACCACCACCTCTCTCTAGACTTCAAAGTTACCAGCATTTTTTATTGAGATGTAAATGAAAGCATAATCCTAAAAGATTTTCAGTAGCTTGAGAAGTAAATATCTGCTTGTGAATCCTATAGCTCCAGGACACACTGCATCAGCTTGGGAATCTATTTCCTATGTTCCACCTTTATTAGTAGACATTGTAATTCTTAACAATATCTATAAAGGGGCTGTAATGGCTACTACCATGGTGGCACACAGTGTAATTAATTGTGAAGGGCACTCGATCTGGAATTATTTCCAAGTTATTTATAAAAGTAAATATAAATCCACTATCGTTGTACTGTTCTCTCTCTACAGTCAGTTCATTTGGAGGCTGTTATTTGGTGCACAGCAACATCAATGTTTTCTTCAAACTAACAACATTTCAGAGTAATCCTCTTGACCATTGCCAACAGGTGCTCCCAATTTATACTGACAGCTCATCTGGAATAAAGCTTTATTGCTATTATGTATTGAAACACCACAAGATTTTGAAAATAATCTAAACACTCTCTCTTGTCCGTCTCCCCCTTACCCACCAGGTCCTGTATCAAATTGATTTTCAATTTGATGGTTGCCTTTGCTAGCTTCATAAATAACTACTTTATCACGTCCTTTGGATTATTATTCTTACAGCATCTTCTTCACCAGGCTTTACCTTTGTTCATTTGTTGTTCAAATTTGTTATCTACAGAAAATTCCAGTGAACAAATTCTTTGGTCACCCTTCAAGTTAGTTAAATTTCTAAAGCAAGACACCAAGCAAGTATGCAACAGTAACTTTCTGTGAAAACTTACTAAAATCAAGCATACTTAGATTACAGCAACGTTCTTAAAATTTAAAAATTCTACTCATTTTTAGCCTTAAAACCCCCAAAACCCTTCGTTTTTCGAAAACCTGCAGTCATATAAAAAGGAACTAAATGCTATAATGTGTTAAATTGACACCATCAAGCAACACAACTAATTATAGTCACAACATTTAAGAGTACATTTAATAAGTGCAATTTATACACCAGTGGTCTGAAAGACAAATGACAGATAGGCCACCAGGCATGTTAGCCTGAAGTCAGGGTCGATTTGCACCTTATAGACAAACTAAATCAGAGATGTATAGCATAAGCTTTCATGAGCTCAAGCTCACTTCAGCAGACACTGAATGATCTAAATGACAGGTCATATCCTCTCTCTCAAGTATAATATTTGTATGTGGCATGAATGAGGCCAAGTATGAAGTGAGGGTATAATAAGCTAAGATACCAAGAGAGGGGACCATAAGCTTTGTGTAACGTGCAACGCTTTGTATCCTTGCCCCTGTATGGTTTTTTTTTTGGTGGCAGTAAAAAGCCAAAAAATGTAATTAAAAATATTTTAAGATACATGAATGATGCGTCACATTTGTGACTACAATTTATGAATTGTGAAAAGTAGATTAATTAAACAGAACACATAAGCAAAGCAACAAACAAAGCAACATTACCTATAAGTTTTGTTTTTCATAAGTTTGCACATATACTGTAGATCTAAAAGATGGGTCAGAAAGCTTGTAGACAATTTTTAAAAGTTGCAACAGTTATACGTGGATAGATCTTATAAGATAATTATGTGAGTAATAGCAGCTGATATTTCTATCAAAAACATACACTGTTTCTTTGCTACCACTTCAAATATTCTGTTGGTACATCAGTTCATTTTTAAAGCTCTCCTTTAATATATACACTCACTTTTGTAGCTGCTGGTTCCACTAGTCTTTGACGGTGCCGGGCTGAGCTGAAATGGCTCTTCTGAGGCGGCCCTTCCTGACAGTGAATGGAAGAAGGGAAGGGGAAAGAAGAGAAAAAAGGGGAGAGAATGGATCGTGGAGGGGATGGAATGAAGGATGTCAGAGAAGGGAGAGGGAGAGTATTTAACCGAAATGTACTTTCACTAACCTTGTAAGTGCTTTATAAAATATTTCATAGTCTCCCCATAAGCAAATCAGAGAATAATAAAGCTATTTTGCTAGCAATAATCTCATGAGCCTTTCATAAATGTATTTTTGTATATCCACTTAATGAGTTTGCCTACTTATTTATACTCATATTTTGATTTACACATTACAGTTACAAAAGCTTTATCTTGCCCTTAGCAAGTGTTTACATTATCTGTCAGTTTTAATGCCAATTTCAACAAGTGCACAGAAAAAAATATTTATCATTTAACCAATCTGGAATGATATCCCTGTCTCAGATACAGCACCTTCTCTATTAAAATAAACTGTTTTTCTTTTTGGTAAAGAGATTCAGGTTTTCAGATCTTCAAAAGATGAACCAACATTATGCTTTTGAGATTTATGCCGAGTGGGTATGAGAGATTCATACTTTCTTTTGAGAAAAGGTTTAAAATAGGAGGCTTCCATATGTAAAGGACAGGAAGAATTTGAAAGAGCTCTCTTTTTGTAAAAATATAGATACATAATATGTATTACTGGCACAAAATTGTTTAAGGTAATGACTCATTTGCTTTGTGTAGTGATTGCAGTGTTATAACCAGCTGAATGTCCAATAGTTGCAGCAGTTTTCACAAGAATAATTGCTTTGTAGAGGTTGAGTATTATATATAGTCTGTTCTCCTACTCTTGCCATTCCTCTAGGCTGTGCCTTACTGACAGAGATCAAAATAAAGGGATACCATTTTAGAGGGCTGTCTTAAACACATATTCCAGAATAGGTACTAATTTCTTTCGCCCCTCCCCCAGTAAGTTCTTATAAGAGGTTTTAAAAAGTTGTCATCCTTTCAAGGATGTACCATAACGACTTTACCTCAATACACTTTAATTAAAATTGACTAATCAAGAAAAAAGATTAAGAGCTGAGAGAGAAAAGAAAAAAAAAAAAAAGACATACAAAAAAGTAGACGTTGTATACACCTATACCATACAATTTGAAGCTCTGCAAAAAAGGATAAGCCAAAAGGTGCATTCTTTAGTAGTTGCCATAAATAAAGTACATTTTCTTCTCTCTCCTCTGCCCCTTCCTCCTGGTAAGTTAATCAGAATTACATGGTATCCTTTTCTTCTTCTCTTTCCTCTTGATCACCCATGTTATCAGACTGCGGGTACTTTTTTAAGTCCTGTTCCACAAGCTTCTAAATCAGTAACTCTTTACTTCATTCTTAGCATTAAGAATACTCTGTTTTATCACATAGGGATCTTTGACAAATCAAATATTCTATCACAAATATAAAGGTTAATCTTAAACCGGTTTTAGCCATTTTGAAAGCGGGTTACATACACTGAACTTCTCTGTCGTGTTACAGATTGAACCGGTTTCCGATCACTTATACTAGTCTATATATAATTTCTGTCCCTAGCCATGAAGTCACAGAAAAGAAGAACTGGATGTTTCTATTAATGGAGATGACATCCATGCAGAATTCAAAATAGGGAAGGTTTCCATACCCTTCAAGTATTGACATAAAGTTTATATTAGGAGAGGAAGTGGAAGAGGAGAGGAGGGGAGATAAATCCAAGGGCCTTGCAGACATTGCATTTATTGCATTATTAATATTGTGATTAACATGATCATTAATAATATTACACAATTATTAAATAGGATATCTTTCCAGTAAATCAATACTAAATCACAGCCCGATAGTTAGAATCACTTCCACTGGAGGAGGGTTCTTTCTAATGAAATTAAAAAAAACAACCCAGAAGTACAAGGTAAGTAAAGATCTAATGATGCTGTTCAGAAGGTTCAGATGCTACATGATAAACTCCAACATGCCACACCTTCAGCCAATGTGTGGTGTAATAAAATGACAACACAAGTCACAAAAAGATTTCTGATTCCAACAATGGGTGCCTGAACCAGGACCTGGGGCTGCCCCTGCCAGCCCCCTGATCTGGGGCATAGCTGGCCCCTATCCATTTAAAAGCATGCCAGTGCAGCTGCCTGACCACTTATGCGACAGGCATCTGGGGAATCAGAATGCTGCTTGATCTCCACCTGGTGCCACAACTGCTGTGCATGTGGGCATGCAAACATGTATATATTAACAATAATGCCACTAACATTTGTTTGGTGCTCTCATTCTTGTTTGATTCGGGTAACAAAAGAAAGGCTTCTTATACCTACTCTGAAATAGTTTGTTTCAAAAGAAAAAACAAAAAGAAAAAGAAAGCTTGGTAAACTACAGGATTCAGCAACTTATGAATAATGAGAATACCACCACCTTGGGGAAATGAGTCTTTCGAACAGCTAGGTTTAAAAAGAAGGGAAAACGCTGAGTGGAGCTCATCCACCAGCAAAGAGTTAAAAAATATATAGCAGAAGAGTAAAGCAATGCCTATAGGACTCCATACTCCCTCTTCCCACAGCCTCAAAGTAGTAAATCCACTTTGTACTGGTGAGAACAGTGATCAGAAAAGGTGTTCACTTGGACTGACAGAACTTGCACATAACCAGAAACTGGTTTAAACCTGTAACAGAACAGAAGCTCAGTGGACATAAACCAGTTTTAAAATGGCTGAAACTGGTTTAAGATAAACATGGTTGAATGCAGTATCAGACTTAACAGATTTGGGTCAAACCGATTTCTGTCCCAGACCACTTCCTGGTCCAAGTTAAATCATAGTCCTCCAGCATCCCAGAATGCTTTGCATCCCTGGGCTGGGCCTAGCTGGAGCAGTGAGGGCTGGCTGACAAGGGGGGGGGGGCAAGCCCAGCTAGGGATGCAGCCAAGTCTACATGGGGAGAGGCTACCCCACCCCCCGGTGAACCCCAGCTGGAGTCTGGGCCCAGGGAGGGGGGTTAAACACCCCTTCCTCCACTCAAACTTATTTCTGGCTGTAACTGTGAACTACAAATCCCAGAGGCACCTGGAAGCAGAAAGAGAACGTGATGAGCAACTCTGCAGAGTCCTGCTGTTGTAATTCTGGACTGCAAATCCCAGAGACCTCAGGGGCAGCAGGAAGAGGAAGAGGAAGTGAACACACAGCCAGAGAGCCTGCTCTAGTGCCCCCTGGCTTCTGGCCTGAGCCACTGCAAGCATAGATTTCATAGACATTAGGACTGGAAGGGACCTCGCAAGATCATCCAGTCCAGCCCTCTCTGCCCAAGGGGCAGGAAGTCAGCTGGGGTCATATGATCCCAGAAAGATAGGCATCCAAGTGTTTCTTAAAGATGTCCAGAGTAGGTGCTTGCACCACTTCTGGACAGGGAGTCTCTTCCAGACTCTGGGGACCTGGATGGTAAAGCAGTTTTTCCTTATGTCCAGCCTAAAACAGTCTTCCAGGAGTCTGTGACCATTAGACCTCGTCTTCCCTCTTCCTTTGGGGTGCATTGGTGAACAGATGTTCTCCCAGTTCCTAATGCACACCCCTTATATATTTATAGGCTGCCACCAAATCCCCCCATGAGCCTTCCCTTCTCCAGGCTGAAGAGTCCCATGGCGCTCAGCCTCTCCTCATAAGGCCTACTATCTTGTCCTTTAATCATGAGCGTGGCTCTCCTGAAACCAAGGTAAATAGTCTGTTCACTTCTGTTTCAGTTTAATCTGTGCAGCTTAGACTAACCTGCAAAGACCGAATCAATTCAGCATCAGGCTTTTTGATTGTCTGTACCTAGCCCAAAACTAAACACTTTTCTCATCACACCACTACCCCCAAGAAAGTAATTTCTGCTCATAGTTGAATCCATGAGTTCATACAGGTGTAATTAAAAAAAATTCCTCATACCTATTTTTGCTGAGCATCAGTAATGGGGGATGTAAAATTTGAATGACAATAAATGAACTTGCTTCACTGAGGAAAAAAGGATCTTAGGCTGCATACACACATTCAAATAATCTCCTTGTGAAGGAACATCTTGAGAAGCTGGATACCTTCAAGTCATCCGGCCCTGACAATCTACACCCCAGGGTACTCAAGGAGCTGGCGAGCATCATAGCCCAGCCTCCAGCACGGATCTTTGAAAACTCTTGGCACTCTGGTGTAGTGCCCGAAGACTGGAAGAAGGCCAATGTGGTGCCTATCTTCAAGAAAGGGAGGAAAGTGGATTCGGCTAACTCTAGGCCCATCAGCCTGACTTCTATCCTGGGGAAGATCTTAGAAAAGTTTATTAAAGAGGCCATCCTTAATGGACTGGCCGACACCAACATCTTAAGGGATAGCCAGCATGGGTTTGTTGCGGGTAGGTCTTGCTTGACCAATCTCATTTCCTTCTACGACCAGGTGACCTATCACCTGGACAAGGGAGAAGAGATTGATGTCATATATCTTGACTTCAAAAAAGCATTCGATCTGATATCCCACGATCACCTCTTGGAGAAACTGGCCCATTGTCGCCTCGGGTCCACCACGATGCACTGGCTGGAAAATTGGCTCCGTGGTCAGACCCAGAGGGTAGTAATTGATGGAAGTCACTCATCATGGTGTCCTGTGACCAGTGGGGTCCCCCAAGGTTCTGTCCTTGGACCCATATTGTTCAACATCTTCATTAATGATGTGGACACTGGAGTCAGAAGCGGACTGGCCAAGTTC